CCTAATCCCCTCATTCATTCTCCTTTTAAAGCCCTCAGCACCTCACCCATATCCACCATTTTTAATCCATTCACTACTTACAATTTAATCACCTTTTCAAGGCCCCACCTTTCAATTACTATAATAGGATTTCCAACCCTCTTAACATTGTCACAGTGGGGGTCAAGTTTTGGGGGGACACTCAATCCAAGGCACCCCCTTTTTATTTTTAACTTGCCTTGTCCCAAAAGCATCTCAATTTGTTTAATAAAATAATCACAATTCAAGATTAAATTTAAAAGATGTGAGGTAGGTTTTTAAATGGCAGCTGGAATGCTTGGCAACTCACCCAAGGTGCTAAGTGGCACAGCAGGAACCTGAATCCAGGCAGTCTGACTCCAAAACCTGTGGGTAAGACTTCCTCCACATTTTCTTCTATACCTGACTAAATTTACATAGACAATATTAAAGCTGAGCACAGAGCCAAGATCTGAACTCATCAGGACTGGAACAAGCAGGGGCTGCTAAAGCAAGGGTAACAAAGACACAGGCTTCCCTCATGTTTCCACAGGCGGGGAATGTATATAGACTTAGTAGTTACTTCAGAGAGAATTAAGTTTGTCATATATATAACACCTCCCTTACTAGTGAGTGACTACTTCAGGTAATCTGTAGATTTATCAAGACATCAATCTGCACTGTCTGAGGTGCCAAGGAGATTGCAGCAAAAACTTTAGTTTAGCTTTGAAAGATACTTGCCAAGAGATAAATTGCATAATTTATCACCTCGAATACTAAGATGTAAACATGATGACTCTGCATAAGAGAATGAAACTTCAGGAGCCAAAAACAAACCTGTAATATATTTGAAAGGTGCAATCAGCACACTACAAATACTTGAATGGAAAAGAGACTCTCAGAGCATTTCAATTACTTAAAAAGACCCTGACATAGCCTCTTCAAACTTCACACTAAATAAATATAAAAATGCACACACACACACACAAAAAGACAAATACTAACCATCACTTAGACAGACACACAATCTACTGTCACAGTCTAGGAAGAAATGTTCATACCAAGGTACACAGAGTCAGCCTAAGAAAGACAGGACTGCTTGTGCTTTGCCTCATGAATGGTCTCAAAGGAAGAACAGCTGGGCCAGCCTAAACCAAGAGAGGCTCTCATATTTTTAAACCACTGGACCAGACTCTGGGTTGTACCAAACAGAAGATTGGGGAGCCATACCTCTGTTTTATAGATGCTGCTTTTCAGGAAAGACTAAGTATTATTCCTCATTCTCATCTTTCCAACTTCAAAGTTTGTAGCTCCAAATTAACAGAGGAGCAGACAGTAGGGGAAGTCCTGAGGTGGTGCATCCTGGGAAGTACGCACCCCAAAGGATGGCTGATAAAAATGGGGACGGGAAGACTTCGGCAGCAGGACAGAGTAGTATTAGCAGAGGGGTAAAAGAAGGTCCCATGTCAGCCTTGCACCAGCACTAGCTATGTGCCTAATGAGTACCACATAAGAAAGTACAGCTCAGAGAAAGAACTTCCATCAGATGGATAGGGAGTGGAGCCAAAAGCCACCTACAACTCCCCGCCATTTGACTACACCAGCTCTAGGGATATCTCCTATTATGACGATGGACTAATGGGAAAAAAAACCCTAATGCCTCAGAAAAAATAATGTACCACAAAGGTAATGGAAGGTCATTCCAAAGAGCAAAAGTCTATCTTTAAAGATAATTTACTACGAAACCCACAAGAATTCCTGCACAGGAAAACTATATGACTATGTGTCAATACAGGTTCATCAACTGTAACAAAACTACCACTCTACTGGGGGATGCTGCTAATGGGGAGGCTACAGGTGGGGGGACGGGGCCTATATAGGAAATCCCTGTACCTTCTGCTCAATTTTGTTGAAAATAAAGTCTTTAAAAAAAAAAAACAACACTATATGAAACAGGGACAGAAAGTCATCTCTAACTGTCTGAAATGGGCCTATATAGGAAATCCCTGTACCTTCTGCTCAATTTTGTTGAAAATAAAGTCTTTAAAAAAAAAAAAACAACACTATATGAAACAGGGACAGAAAGTCATCTCTAACTGTCTGAAATGAAAAGACAATAGGATAAAACGAAAAAAGAATTGAATAACATGAGAAACAAAAGCACGGTAGCAAAATTAAAATAACCATTAGAGGCAATATGGAACAGAAATGAATCTGCAGCAAATCTTATCAGACTGTCTCTCTAAGAGAGGACAGACTTGAAAAGGCCTCTCTGAATACAGAAGAAAAGAACAAAAAGATGGAAATAACAAGAGATGGGGCTAACTACAGGGAAAGGGAAAGGGCAGACAAGCTGGGAATAAGTGTTTCTTAGAGGAATCCAGAACAACTGGAACAGAGGCAATTAAAACTACAACTAAATAAAAATAAAGATAAACTGGAAGTTTAAAAAAAAAAAAAAAAAGGATTTTAGGGCTCCCTGTGTTCCACCAGGGAGTGGGGATGGGGGAAACAATAAAAAAAGGACCTTATTACTTATATGATGAGAAAAAAAACCCATTAATTTAAAACTATGTACATAGTTGACAATAACTACACATATATTATAAATTAACATATGCAGAACAAATACTGGAAAAGGTATGACCAAATGTTAACAGGGTTATTATAAGTTGTGGGTGCAAGAGAGAGGTGAACCAGTACCCCTTTGGGAACAAGGGATACACATTGGCCTCTGAGAGGTAAAACATGAAGTGAACATACAATGGATCCGGATATGGACATGGAAAATCACCTGAAAGAGATGTTAGATCCCAGGCCAGATATACTGGACAGTATATTACCTATGTGAATATATTAATATATCCAGAAAATGTCAAGTAGAATTGCTATTGATGGAACCAGAAAGAATAGGAACAAGAGAGCTACAGAAGTATATGCTCTCTCCAGAATTATGCAGGGAAGTTAGCCAAAGGAATTTAAGTATTCTGACCTCAAGGGAGAGAGCATTCCTCATGTGGAGATGGCGATAGGCAAAATCATCCCTATTAAAGCCCGATGCCAGTAAACATTTATCTTATATTCTGCTTATATAACCCCTCTTGTTCTGATTCCACAGTCATGAAACAACCTTCTGATTATGATGCTGTTCCCTGTGTAATTATGCCCAAAGGGAGAGAATGTACTGATCACAGCAACTACATGTTTAGTCTATGTGATGGCAATTCCTCATTATAAATTAATAAATTATACTATTAGGGAAAAGAATATTATTTTAAAGGACTTGAAGTATTCAGGTGTTAGAAAAGCCACGTAAGGTTACTGGTTAAGAATGTGGGCTTTGTAATCAGAGAACTAGGAGTTTAAATCCTGGCTCTTCCACCTGCCAGCTGTCTGATCGCAGCTGTAAAACGAAGATAATACTTGTCTTGTAGGATCATAAGTATTAAACAAGACAATGTATGCAAAGTACTTAGGGTACAGTAGGTGCCCTCCCAAAATTTGTTGAATAAACAAAATGAATGTACATGATCAATAAGTGGCTCTTATTATTTAAAATTTGGAATTTAAATGAGCTCACTTCATGCATGTCTTCCTCCAAAAGATCCAATCTTAGGGTGTTGGATAAAAATCAGAATTTTATACTTACCTAACTTAAAGACCAGACTGTTCTAGACTTTGAAAAGCTATCTAGGTAATTTCTGCCATTCTGTAAGAGGCCTTTTGAGAAAAAGACCAACAGCTTTGTTTTTTTCTGATTTCAATACCTGTTATATCCATGTGGCAAATGAATCAAAGATCTAATTTTTAAAAGAACTATCTCTGGGTAGTGAGATTATGAGTAACTATTTTCCTTTCTATATTTTTCAAATTTTCTATGATACAAAAGTTTTCCTTTTTATTACCAATGTACTTTTTAAAAACTACCTCTAAAATTTGAACAAAAAAATATACAGATAGAAAAAAATAAGACTAAGTTGGAAATAAGGTTTGCCACTAAAATGCTTTGCAGTAAGTTTCTATAGATTTGCTAAAGGTATACAGGATATTTGTTCCTAAATTTTCTATCAGCCTTCTAAAAAAATCTATGATCACTTAGGAGATTCACAGCATCTGTAAGATAAAAATAAGGTAAGAGCCCTGAAAAACCACAGCCATTCCTGTTAGTAAACCAGGAGAGAAATTTTTCCCATGGGTATTCATAAAGAGTATTTCTTCTGACATCTTTCACTAAATCACTGGCATAATGCCAGAACACTAAGACTAAAATGTAAACTCTGGACCAATTCAAGGCAGCTATTGTTTCTGAATTACAGAACTAAACAAAGTAAAACCAAAACTTCCTTTGAAGTTAATGTCTTCCACAAAGTAGTTACATAGCACAAACTGTGAAAATGGTGTTAGATGTACTTTGATGTGACACATTTTTCTTCAAAATAAAATAACATATCAACACGAAATACCAATTGACAGTGCCAAGGAAAAGAAATAAAACCTGAAAAAAGGGTTTTTTTTCCAGATAACTTTTTTTTTTAAAACAAATGAAATAATATATTGAGAACTTTTACTTTTTATTGGTAGATAGAAAAAACAACCTTCTTTTTTTTTTTTTCCTTTTTGTCTTTTTTACTGACCGGTAACGGGATCGCAACCCTTGGTGTCATGCCCGTACCGGGGACCGGCAACGGGATCGCAACCCTCGGTGTTGTGCCCGCACCGCGCTCAGCCAGTGAGCGGGAACCGGTCTCCACATGGGATCTGAACCCTCGGCGGGAGCACCGCCACACTCCCAAGCGGCGTACTCTCCAGTGCGCCACCGGGCCGGCCCAAAAAACAACCTTCTTTGCTAGAGTTAACTAAGAACTCTCATTACTTGTTTAGTTTAAATTACAAAATGGTTTAAAAGCAGAAAGCAGAAATGTCAATGTCAAGTCTCTATTTTGGAAGAAATACATAAGTTTAGTATCTGTATTTTCTTACATAAAATATGGTCTACATCTTACCATGTGGTTCTACTTTCTTCATAACTGTATCTGGGTGTTCATCTAAGAAGAAATCTGGTATCAAAGGATGGCCTGAAAAAATTGACCCCAAAATAATCAGGTTAATATAATAACTACAATATATTAAGATTTTAACACCTGTTTAATAAACATTCCATCTGTCTTTATTTTAAGACTATTCTGGTACAGTGGAAAAGGCCTCCATGAGAACCTGTCAAACTACTTGATCTTCATTAAATTAATTTTCCCACAACTCAGTTATCTTCCTATGACAAATTTTATCTTCAAGATCTAATAAAAAAATCACCTGGTATGTAAAGCCTTTACCTGCTCTCCCAGGAGCCTTTGCCCTCCTCATCCTTACAAGCCTTCTATCCTACATCCCTCCAAAGTGCTCAGGACTCATTTGTCATCTGGTCACCTGAGAGCAGGGGGTCCCTCATTAAGAAGGACTTGCTTCCCAGCATCAACGTATTTGGGTTTTTTCTTCTTCCTCTTCCTCTCACTCCATCGTCATGAAAACTAAGCTATCCCATCCCACTGGGTCTTATCTTCAGCTGTGGTTAGAAATAAGTTAACTATTTTAACATTACACTGATACCTCCAAGACATGTGCACACTAGATTTGACAGCCACAATGTTAGATGTAGTAAAAGATGAGAAAAAGACAGTAGTAGACTTAGATGTAGTAAACGTCAGATCTCTCCGCCCTCTCCCAGAAGAGAATAAATTTCTGGAGGGCAAAAGTGAATTGATCGTTGCTATATCTTAGTTTCACAGTGACTGGTCATATTACGTTCTTAATACTTGATAGGATTTTTAATTTAAATCAAATTAAAAATTTCGTGTACAATGACATGATGTCTTTAAAACCTAAAGTGATAATTATACTTTACCAGGACCCAGAAGACCTGAGTGTGGTTCAGGTTCTACCACTTATTAGCCACCCGCTCTTAGGCAAAGGCTTAATCTCTCTGAATCTGTTTTTCCACTTGTAAATATTAACCTCTAAATATTGTGAGTGAACTATATGCCAGGCACTGTGCCAGAAACATTATACACATTACTGCATTTAGTTCTTACTTCTGTGCAGTTGGTACCATTTTCTTAATTTTACCAATAAGGAAATTGAGGATTGGGGAAAGTGGGTGACATGCTCAAAACCTCATAGCTAGTGAACAGCAGAGCTGGAATCTGAACCTGATTTGTCTTCTCCTAATTCCATGTTCTTAATCACTAAACAGTATTACTTCTTTCACAGGATTGCTATGAAGTTTAAATAGATAACGTACATAAAAAGTACTTTGTAAAACCGTATCCAGCTACTTAATTCAGTATGAACTGAAGAGACAGGCAAATATAAATGAGGTTTCTGTCACCTGGGAGCTCAGTTTAATGAATAATATTTCAAATAAATTTAAATAAATATATGTCTTATTTATTTTTTTATTTTGTGGCTGGCAAGTGAGCTAACTGGCTAGCCTAAAATATACTTTAGCAAAAATAAATATAACTCTCATTTACGGCTGTATTATCTATTATTTAGAATATATTTATTTCTCATATAAAGTAAAAATCCATGATCATCATCATTATCTGCAATTTCAGAGAGGAAGAGTTATTTTTGCAGAAGGGGACCTCTGCAAGCTTCTCAAATCATACTATTGTGCATAAGACCGGCCTGCTCCCTCACCTTGCCTCTGTCATTAAGCCGCTTTAAAAGAGTGCACTTAAGAGACATACATTTGGGAAGAGTCCACAATCTGAAAATTTTTTTGTAAAAAACCCACTATTCTATCACCTGTTACCATATCCTTGAATAAAATCTTTACTCTGTGACTAATTTTCATTTTTCATTTCAAGATTTGGAAATGGCTAGTAGCTGATATGAACTCAAGCATCTATACATATCACTTCAAAAGCCCTCAACTCACTTCTATTTTTCCTTTCTCTCTTTTTTAAGTTGTGTTGATACGGGTTTTTCCCTTCACTGGGAAAAATCTTTTAAAAGAACATAGTCATTTTATAATCACACAGACAGAACAGATGTGTTCACTGCGGAAATGTGGAAAAACACATCACTACCTTTAAAAACTATAAGCATTACCTACCTGGTTTAACTAACTTTTAAAAGAACATACTCATTTTATAATCACACAGACAGAACAGATGTGTTCACTGCAGAAATGTGGAAAAACACATCACTACCTTTAAAAACTATAAGCATTACCTACCTGGTTTAACTGCATAAACGTCAAAATTTTTTATTCCTTCTTCTTTTAAGATATTTTCATCAATAATAAAGTTGCCAGTAAAACTTTTTGGCTTTTTGAAAATGGAATATGCAGCATCTGCAATGATATCAACTTTTCTACATTGGCTTTCAACACCAGATCCACCCAGCATATCCATAGCAGCAGTGTGTATGGCTGTAGAAAAAACACACACACAAATATACATATAACTCCAAATCAAACAGTAAGACTATGGAAGTAACGAGCAAGCCCAACCCTTCACAATTATCAAGGCTAATCTATTTCTCAGATGATGAAAACAAGATACAGAGAGCTAAAAAGATTTAGATAACACTGCTTTATACAGAACTCCTTCGTGAGACTTAAAGCAAAATTCAGTGAGACTTAGGATTTACAACATTCAATAATTCACATGGCATTCTTGAGAGTCAAGAAAGCCAGTAAAGTATAACAGAAAGAGCAGTGAGCTAAAAGTCAGGTGAGTGGGATTTTTCTATCAACTGTGCCATGACTTTTGGCAAGCCACTTTAACATCTTTGGGCCTTAGTTTCCTGTCTCTAACATATGGAACTCCAGTTAGAGCAAAGTTTTATCACACTGAAGTCAAGGGTTCGGATCCCCATACTGGCCAGCTGCCAAAATAAAATACAATAAAAAAATAAAATAAAATATGAAGCTCCCTTTCCTGTTTACTTTCTCCCCTCCGCCTGTATGAGAAAACAGAGACTTTGTTTTTCTTGTTCATGACTGTATTCCCAGCATCTAAGACAATGACTAATGTATCTTAAGCACTCAACAAATACTGGTAGGATTTCTGGGGGACCTTTTAAAACTCAGATAATACTGTTTTGTAGAAAATATTAGAAAATAAAGAGAAGCAAAAGGAAGAAATTAAAAATTAACTATAATCCCCCTACTCAGGGATAATTACTGCTAATATTTGAATATAATTTTCACTATTTTAGGTACAGATACTTTGAAAATTCTGTTTCTTATATGNATTTTTCCTTTCTCTCTTTTTTAAGTTGTGTTGATACGGGTTTTTCCCTTCACTGGGAAAAAAACTTTTAAAAGAACATACTCATTTTATAATCACACAGACAGAACAGATGTGTTCACTGCAGAAATGTGGAAAAACACATCACTACCTTTAAAAACTATAAGCATTACCTACCTGGTTTAACTGCATAAACGTCAAAATTTTTTATTCCTTCTTCTTTTAAGATATTTTCATCAATAATAAAGTTGCCAGTAAAACTTTTTGGCTTTTTGAAAATGGAATATGCAGCATCTGCAATGATATCAACTTTTCTACATTGGCTTTCAACACCAGATCCACCCAGCATATCCATAGCAGCAGTGTGTATGGCTGTAGAAAAAACACACACACAAATATACATATAACTCCAAATCAAACAGTAAGACTATGGAAGTAACGAGCAAGCCCAACCCTTCACAATTATCAAGGCTAATCTCTTTATTTCTCAGATGATGAAAACAAGATACAGAGAGCTAAAAAGATTTAGATAACACTGCTTTATACAGAACTCCTTCGTGAGACTTAAAGCAAAATTCAGTGAGACTTAGGATTTACAACATTCAATAATTCACATGGCATTCTTGAGAGTCAAGAAAGCCAGTAAAGTATAACAGAAAGAGCAGTGAGCTAAAAGTCAGGTGAGTGGGATTTTTCTATCAACTGTGCCATGACTTTTGGCAAGCCACTTTAACATCTTTGGGCCTTAGTTTCCTGTCTCTAACATATGGAACTCCAGTTAGAGCAAAGTTTTATCACACTGAAGTCAAGGGTTCGGATCCCCATACTGGCCAGCTGCCAAAATAAAATACAATAAAAAAATAAAATAAAATATGAAGCTCCCTTTCCTGTTTACTTTCTCTCCTCTGCCTGTATGAGAAAACAGAGACTTTGTTTTTCTTGTTCATGACTGTATTCCCAGCATCTAAGACAATGACTAATGTATCTTAAGCACTCAACAAATACTGGTAGGATTTCTGGGGGACCTTTTAAAACTCAGATAATACTGTTTTGTAGAAAATATTAGAAAATAAAGAGAAGCAAAAGGAAGAAATTAAAAATTAACTATAATCCCCCTACTCAGGGATAATTACTGCTAATATTTGAATATAATTTTCACTATTTTAGGTACAGATACTTTGAAAATTCTGTTTCTTATATGAAGTGACTTGAAACTCTACAATTAATAGTACATTATTAATTATACATTGTCAAAATTATGAACAGTAACATCACAATTTGCTTATCTGTATCTTAGTCCACACAAAGCAATGAAAGTCGATTGGTTTAAATACACTTCAGGTTTCAGAGTTTCTAGTAATTTAGATAAGAGTTCTCTCCATACCATTGTTAAAACATTTTTAATTATTACATATGGAAATAACTTACATACTTTGGTCTCCAAGATGAAAAGTTTGTAGCTTTTAAGAACCACTGGCCCTTTTCATTCATTCAACAGACAGTTGTTGAGCACTGATTACAAGTCAGGCACTACTCTAAATATTGGCAACAAAGGAGTAGACAAAACAGACATAAAGCCCCTATCTTCATGAAGCTTATGTCCCTATTTCAAAAAAAGGCTCAATTAACTTGAGGAATTTCCTAAAAGCATCAAGTTAGAAGACACTTTTCTACTTCATAACTAAAGTTCCTTTAGTAGGAATAAATTTTTTTTACTTAGCCAATAGTTCAAGAGCTCTGGTCTCACTCTTGAACTGATAATTTATTAATAAAAAAATAGCAGCTAACATTCATTAAGTGTACCCTGTGCTGAGCATGCTGCTACATACTTTACTTACATTATTTGAATTAATTTTTAGAACCCATGAGGTAGGTACTGCTGTTATTCCCATTTTACTCAGGCACAAAGGAGTTCAGTAACTTGTCCAAAGTTATAGCAGCTAGAGTTCAAATACCTGGCAGCTTGGCTTCAGAGCCAGACTCTTCTCCACCATGCAACTAATGGGTCATACTTTGTTAACCAAAGTTCTTGGAGTCCAGTTTATCATCTCATTCCTATAAACTTTAGAACCTCTCTGCAAATATTTCAATATAGTATATTTTGAGACTATATGCATACATACACACTCCTAATCTCAATGAAGATTATATGAATAGCATGAGCATTCTTAAAAATTCTAAATTAGAAGTCTAATAAGATTATGTCATTTACACATTTACACATGTCTACACACACACACACACACACACAGACACACACACACACACACACAATATAAGAATAAGGAATGTTTCTTCCAAACAACTTATCGTTACTTTAACAATCTTTCTAGTGAAGATATAAAAGTGGCACAGACACTCAAAATCAAGAAGTGGGGGCTGGCTGGTTAGCTCAGTTGGTTAGAGTGTGGTGCTAATATATCACCAAGGTCCAGCGTTCAATCCCTGTACCAGTCAGTGTCAAAAAAAAAGAACGAATGAAAAAAAATCAACAAATGGACCACAGAGTTATTCTCAAAAAAAATTATGAAACGTCAACAGGCTAACCCAGGTTTTATAACAGGATATAAAAACTGATAATGAAAACAGGTTAACAATAGGATCAATCAAATGCAATTCACTGATGATTTCTGGGAAAGAAAATAAGCAAGACTCGTAATGAAAGCAGATAAGCCTTGGATCACAAGAACCATAAAAGTGACCCTAAAATATAAGTCTTATTAAGAAATAATTGGAGAGGGCTGGCCTGTGGCTCACTTGGGAGAGGGTGGTGCTGATAACACCAAGGCCAAGGGTTTGGATCGTTATATAGGGATGGCCAGTTAGCTTACCTGGGAGAGCATGGTGCTGACAGCACCAAGTCAAGGGTTAAGATCCCCTTACCGGTTATCTTTCAAAAAAAAAAAAAAAGAAAGAAAGAATTGGAAAGACATCTAATAAGCTTCCTATTGATTCTCCTGATTACAGCTTATTCAAAACAGGCAGTAACAAGAGTCTTAAAACCAATAGATTTCCTTTTACATAAACATATGGAATGCATATCAGGCTTAAAACATCAGCACTGCCATTGACTTCTTCTCTGGGGAGAGAGCTTGTGTCACCTCTTTAACACCTGCCAGCCCCACGAAATACACACATATAGTTGTGTGTGCACTCACTGAACCAATGATACTGTTGATTATAAAGTNTGATTCTCCTGATTACAGCTTATTCAAAACAGGCAGTAACAAGAGTCTTAAAACCAATAGAAGATTTCCTTTTACATAAACATATGGAATGCATATCAGGCTTAAAACATCAGCACTGCCATTGACTCCTTCTCTGGGGAGAGAGCTTGTGTCACCTCTTTAACACCTGCCAGCCCCACCAAATACACACATATAGTTGTGTGTGCACTCACTGAACCAATGATACTGTTGATTATAAAGTGCACCAAGACTTTGTGAACCACTAAGGAAACAAAGAGCTGCCAATTAAACTGTGATATATTGTTAAATGCATCCTGATATCAGAGGTGTAAAAATGTAAAACATGGGCATCTCAGAATCAATGAAATATGGTATAAACTGCTGTTTAACCTAGTCAGTGAATAGGTCCCTTGAAAAACAGGGAAACTAGTTTTGATTTCCAGCACCAGAGAGAGGAAGGAATCCAGCTGCCACCTACTTTCCATGTGGTCCAGGTGACAGAGGACTGCAGCTGTCCTCTGACATTTTTGTTACCTTCTTCTCTGCTATTACCACATCAGCAGCTGCCATTCGCAGACTTCCCACCCCAGCCCACATAAAATCCACCCAAAAGTGGACTTTCCTGCTTCTACCACACTTGTCCGGACCAGTTAAGAGGTAAGAGGCAACAGCATTTCGAACAGCAGCCCTTATCCCTCTTTCCCTCTCCTCCCTGCATTTCAGTAGGAATTATGAAATGGGTCTTGTAAAAAGAAAAAACAACAACCCTGGGGGTGACCTAGCTGGGGGCCTGAGATCCCCATATTGTGAAATTATTACAGGCCTGACCTCTGATCCCTTCCCTGGATATGTTGAATTCAGCAGACTGAAAGTGCTAAACCTAGGAGGGGCAATGTAGCCAGTGTCAAGAAGGAACACCAAGCTGAGAGAGGACAAGTAGCAGACCAGGACACTGCTTTGACTGTAGATCATATATGTTATACTATATCCATTCCATTGAGTGTGATAAATCTCTTTCTTTGAAAGGCACTAATGCTGGGAGGTTACTTCTGGTTCCAGCTCACATAAAAAAAGTCACTCTACACTGTCTAGGATGAGGGAATGTGTGCTTTTGTAAATAGAGGCCCCTCAAAAAGCCAAGAGACTGGACACCCTCTCAAATCCATCTTCATATCTCCATTTTCATTGCCTCAGTCATGAATAATGCAATATTCTAGCAAGCTTTCCTGCCTCCTTTCTCTGCAGTCTTACAAGCCATCCTATATTCAGATGACAGATTAAACTTCCTAAACCTCACCAACACCCATTTTACTTCACTGCTCCTAGTTTTCCCCCTGCTTATTATTACTCCCCTGCTTTTAAAATTCTTCAGTGGCTCTCCCTTGAATATAGGTTAAAAATCAAGCTCCTAAACTTGGCAAACAAGACCCAGGACTTAGCTCATCCATCTGCCCCTACACCCTTATACCCACCGAACATTCCAGGCAACCTGAACTACTTGAGTTGCTCAAGTTCAGAAGGAAATAACAAGCCCACACCCTATCATACATACACCATATCAAACTCCTCATGTTTCCACAGACACACAGTGTTTTCCCATACTGCAGCCTTTGCATATGTTGTTACTTCTGCTAAGGAACGTCTTGTCCACTCCAACATCTCCTTGAGATCTGATTTCAACTGTTTCCCTCCTTTTGAAAATCTCCTTCCCTGACTCTATAACCTGAGCAACATAGTCCTCCTGCTATGTTTCAAAAGAACCCTATGCATAATTCATCATACCATGTATCATAAGGAATATGAATGTAAATTTAATTTACTGTGTCATCAAGTCTAGGACCAAATGATATCACTGGCTCTAAGAAGTCTAGTAAACGTTCTAAAAACGAACATCTCAAAGCTAAAGCAAAGACCTTGGCAGGTAGCTGATTTCTCTTGCTGATCCTGATAACATCCTCCATGTTCCCTGTCATACAATGTTTTCCCTCTTATATGTGTATAAGCTTTGTTCAGAATGTCTATTTTGGAGCTAGGCAGAAGGGAGTCATACTGCACATTCAATCACTCATTCATCAATTATTTATTGAATGTCTACAACAACTATAATAAAATGAATAAAGCAGAAACTGTCCCTATCCTTAATAAGTTTTCATTCTAGCAAGGAAGACATTAAACAACCATTAT